ATAAAGGTGTCTGATAGATTGGAGTCTGTGTAAAGCGTCGCCAAATGTGGAGCGATCGCCCACTGAGTGCAGCATGTTCTGTTTCATGACAGAGAGAGAATGAGTAAAAATACACCAGCTCCCTGGAGACGGTCTCTATGGCAGCAGTAACTGTGGTGACGGTGAGGTTGCACGTGAAGCGATGGCTGTGATGGGACCCCAGGGAATTCACCCTCTCAAGCTACTGGAGGAGACACACACAAGCTTGAATGAAGTGCAGAGGAAAGAGAGAAAGAAAGCGACCACTTGAGGCGAAATTCAGGACTTGCCAGCAGTGGTGGAATGTAACCAAGTATATTTACTCAAGTACTGCACTTAAATACATTTCTGAGGTCCGTACAGATTAAACCACCCAGAGCTCAAATTAGTCAGATGAAAATTTATTGGCAACTATTTTAATGGCTTTTTAAGTCATTCCTTCGTTAAAATGCCAAACAATTAATCCCTCTAAAATGTGATGATTTGCCGCTTTTCTTTTGAGTGAGTTTAATAATTTAGAGGTTTAGAGTATTGGTTGGACAAAAGTCTTTGTGAAGGTCTCACTTTGGCCACTGGATAATTTCCTCTGCCAAGGAGGAGGTAAAGTTTTTACCAGTGTTTGTTTGTTCACAGCATGAGTCAAAAGTAATGAATGGATTTTAATGAATTTTTTTGAGAGGTAGGGCCCATGGAACAGTCAGGTTGATGCTGATCCAGATCATCATTCAGATCCAGGAATTTATTAAAGGACCACTGTGTGTTGGAAAGGCTGTTTACTGTATGTGAGTCCCTGTATGGTGACTGTTTGTGGCTGTGCAGCTGAGTGAAGATTAGTGGAGCTAATAAGTGCAGCAGGAGGCACTGACTCTAAAGTGGACTTAGATTTAGCCTAATGGTGTGACTTGTTGGCGTCTATGAACGACTGTAAGCACACATTACTATTTCATTCTCCATAGCACATTTATTAGCCATTCGTGGCATTCAGCATAATAATTTATTATTACCTGTCAGTTTATTATAAGGAACAAACTAATGTGTAGCCATTTTTCATGTCAACATGACTTTTTCCTGCAGTGACATCAGAGGCCATTAAAAACACTGCGGCCTCTTTGCATAAACAAGCAAAACATGAACACTGTAATTTTACAAAATTTGACAATTACCATTAAAATATGAACACCCCATTTACACAAAGTTTGGCTGACTGTATTGAACTCAGCTGACCTGCTGTAACCTAGCCTGCTGCAGAGGCAATTGTCAGCAGGCTTAGGACAGAGGATTTCTCATGCCTGTTATAATTTAGATCTGAAAGCTGAACCCGCTCTGCTGCCTCACTGGAGGCTGGACTTGCCAGCTCCACTTCAGCCAAAGTTTTGACGTCAGGGAAGATCTCTCTCCTTCTGCACCAGAGGTGCAGTTGCAGCCCTCTGTGAACGTGCTCCGTGGCTGTTCTATGCACTGTCAGTTCCCAGAGATGGGCAGAGTACGGTCTCAGTTGTCCTTCACCCGCCGCATAAGTTTCAGTTTTTTTCATCTCATTTATCAATGCCATTGGCTCATTATCATTTTTCTTGAAAAGATATTAAAAGAGTCAACTGACAATTTCTTTGATATTCAAGTTGCAGAATTATTGTTAAAATCCCCACCCAAACCAAATAAAGTAAAACGGCCTTTCACACTTATTGTAAATGCACCAGTTACAAATAGACTTTGTAACACAACGTATTTTTCCAGTGCAGGACCTTTACTGGTAACTGAATATTCTGACATTGAGGTATCACTGATAGTATTACCTACAGTGCAGGATCTGAATACTTCTTCCACCACTGCTTGCTAGTGTGTAAATGTGTGCATGTGTGTGGGTGGCTTTGTGCATGCGTGTAGCATGTGTGGGCGAGTGTGTGTTACAGTTCTTGCTAAATTTCTCACTACTCACATATTTGCTTTGCGTCCACTCATTGTTCTGGTGTTGTCTTGAACAGCTGAATTATTTAAGTGTGTGTGTGTGTGTGTGTGTGTGTGTGCGCGCGTGTGCGTGTGTGTGTGTGTGTGTGTGTGTGTTCGGAGCTTGCACATGCAGCATTGCCTCTGCAGAGTCAGTCTGCTCTGTCATGCTGTTTCCATAGCAGCAGTGAGAGCCAATACAGCCAACCACGCTCACTTCCTAGTTTCACCATATTGGTCCTGACACACTATGACTCTCTTCCTACTTTTTTCTTTTTTTGCTGGTCATTTTGGTGGACTTCAGAGTCCCCTTTACATTCATTTATTCAGACAGGGTCAAGAAGAGCACTAGAAATACAAAGAAACAGGAAACTAAAAGCAAATCTTTTTAAAGCTAGATCTATTTCAATCCACAAAAAGTTTGTCATGTCATGTTTATTGTCTTGTCTGAAATCCACAGATTTGAGCAAATAGTCCAAGCAGCTGTACACCCTCCCTGTTCTGTACATCTCTGTCCATTTTCTCACTGTTTTTTGGTGTAAATTCGATCTCCAGAAGGCTTTATGTCATGAAGGTGACGACCCATTGCCAGCTCTCATTGTTGCTTACATTCACAATCTCTCATTTGTTCCTAATGTTTGTCATTGTCCCTGTAGTTGTAGTACTTCCCTAAATGCAATCGACTCTTTTCACTTTCTCTCTCTGCTCTCTTGTCAAAAAGCTGTTATTTTTAGTCTTCTTTGTCTTTGCATATCCATAGATTGTCAGGGTAAAATTGAACAACTGCAGCATCAGAAGCTGATAAAAACAGACTTTGGCTGTGACTGTGGCTGAGTAATGCCTTTAATAAATGCACACAGAAACACATTTTCACAAAACACCTACTGCAAAAATGCTTGTAATGTGAAGAGAAAATTTGTGTTAATTTAAGCCTGACTGTGTAAAAATGACAGATGTAATCATTGTTAAAATCCTACCTGTACCTTTTCCCTGTGCTAAACCCTGGGCTGCCTTTAGCTTTAAACATGAGGGGTTAGACAAGAACCAGTGGTGCAAGATGTGATCACCAGCACTGCTGGGTGCCTTAGACAAACTGTAAATTCCAGTTTGCCTCATTACGCTCGTTTTGAGCTATTGATTTTAATGGTCCAACCCTCCTAGATAAACAGTCCTAGAGGAGATGCAGTTTTTTTTTTTCCCCACCAACTTTAATTAAGCAAACCAGAGCAGATAACACGTCCTCACAGTCAGGACCATCTGAGTTCCTCTGGACATGCGTGTGCTTACAGACAGGTCTTACCTTTGAGCCTCTTTGTGATTCCCCTCTCTACATTCTCTCATTTCATGTTCTCTCCCTTTTCCTTCCTCCTTGACCCTCCTTTTGACTCCTGTTATGCATTCACCATTATTAACCCTGTTATTTTTTTCATCCCATCTGCTCTTAGCTCACCCAGATCAAACAGGAAATTGAGGCAGCAGTCTGATAACTGAAAATTCACTCTTTGTTCTGTTTGAAAGGGCTGCCATTAAAACATTTGTATTTGTCAGTAGACTGAGTGTGAGAGTGAAGCGGCTGGGTCTGAAACGATGAAGCTGAGTGATAAATCCTCAGTCAAGGATTTTAATACCCATGGTTAGCCTACTTATGCCATTCAACCACTAGCGCTTTAAATGGAGTCGGGTAATGGAATGATCACAGAACTACAGAGGATTCAGTCTAATTATATGGCTCTGGCTTGTTTTTTGAACACTGTGTGCATGACAGAGAATTGAGCCTCAGCCTGCTGTGAGCTGGGTAGTGGCTGGTTGGCGAGAGATGGTCATTTTAACCCATCTGCCTCAGCCTTCACACCTGCCTGGCAGCAAAACAACACACTAATGTTGGTCCCTCTCCATCCCTGCCTCACAGAATAGGTTTCCCTTTTTTCAGGTCTGTCTTAAAACATCACTCATATGTCCACATGCACTGCAACAGGTTTTAGTTGCTATGTGTTTCTCCTGTCTTTACTGGCTGTGAGAAGATATCTTCCAAAAGCAAATGTGATGTGGGACAAAATCCAGTTTTCTTTCTGTGCAAAAGCACATTAACCAAGTTTAGCTGAATCTAACATGAGGCTTCAGCAGTCTGAGACAAATCTCGTGGTTTTCTTCGAAGTTAAGGTTGTCTTTAGTGCTTTTTATTGAGAAGTAGTGCAAAGTCTCTCTCTCTGTCTCTCTCTCTCTATATATATATATATTTATATAGACATACAGTATATACAGTGCCTTGCGAAAGTATTCGGCCCCCTTGAACTTTGCGACCTTTTGCCACATTTCAGGCTTCAAACATAAAGATATAAAACTGTAATTTTTTGTGAAGAATCAACAACAAGTGGGACACAATCATGAAGTGGAACGATCAGTTTTTTATTTGTTAAAAAAGTTTGAAATATCCAATAAATTTCGTTCCACTTCATGATTGTGTCCCACTTGTTGTTGATTCTTCACAAAAAATTACAGTTTTATATCTTTATGTTTGAAGCCTGAAATGTGGCAAAAGGTCACAAAGTTCAAGGGGGCCGAATACTTTCGCAAGGCACTGTATATTGTATACTGTACATGAAAAATAAACAAGCCAAAAACAGTTAATCTCTTTTTATTTAATTTTTTTAACTAAAATTCCAACTTGATTTGAATTTGACTAACTCTGACTTCTGAAGTCTTTTATGAGGGGCCGTATAAGAATACATAATGTCTTATACGGCCCCTCATAGTCTTTTGTTAGATTCTACTTAACCAAAAAAAGTTCATGACAGAGTACAAACATATATAATGCTAATTTGTCATTTCAGACCATTTGTTATCTTATAGCGATATATCAAACTATGGTCTTCACTGAGATACCATGACAGGGGCAGCCTGGATGAATGAGAATCTCCACAGACAAAGGAAATGATTACAGACTGGCAGCAAAAGAGATATAATGATCCTATTAATCTTCAAGTGTTACCCTCTGGCATTAATTTAACATCATGTCTCTCCTCATTTTGCATCTACAGTGCAGTGTCTGGAAATGACCACAAAGCGGAAGCTTATTGGCCGGCTGGTGCCGTGCCGCTGTTTCCGTGGCGAAGAGGAAGTGATCTCAGTGTTGGACTATTCTCACTGCAGTCTGCAGCAGGTCCCCAAGGAAATCTTCAGCTTCGAGAGAACTCTGGAGGAGCTCTACCTGGACGCCAACCAGATTGAAGAACTACCCAAGGTAACTCTGAACCACCTCTAACCCCTTTCTGCTGTATCATATCATCTATGACCCATTTAGCATTTTTCCAACTTTTAAATCTTGGGAAACTTTGCCTGTAGCCTCCAGAAGTACTACTGAACCCCCAGAGCCCGGGCCAAACCTACTGTCCAACATAATTCATGCACAACTGTGCTGTCTTTTTCAGGAGGGCCCTATGTACACTCACACAGTTAGCCACAGTTTTCTCAGCCACAGCAACTGGGCGTTTAAGGGCCTTGCAGACACCTTAATATGATTTAAGGGTCTAAGAACAGATCATGTCACTGTAGGGTTTCTAAAGCTCCTTGAGGCAAATAATGTATGTGATCTCTGATACTGAGCTATTTACTGTAAATAAAATTTGACTTGACACCTCAAGAATGGTAATGAGGGGCTAAGCGCTGATCTTTCCCCAGCCAGATTTGTCCTTATTTTTGGCTGTCAGAGACTTTCAGAAAACCATGTGGCCAGTGATGAGGCAAAATGCCCTTCCAATATTTCAAGGAGGATTACAGGTGCTGTTTATAAGAGGGCTGTCTTGTTTTATTGATATTCTGTCCTGGTTTAAATGACAGATGTTGAATTAGATTTCTAAATATAGCCTGCATGAATGGAAATATTCTAACAGGGCTGTGTAAGTAGCGGGTCAAATTTGCAATCACCTGACAAAAAATCTGCTCAGTCTGGGCAATGTATGTGTGCCAAGAATGTGTAAGAGCCACTGAGACAGCCAGGGTGACTGACCTCTAAGTGAGTTGTAGAGATTCTGGAGTGTGTGCATGTATGAAATGTTTGTGTGTTTAGGTATAGTGGCCTGGCCAGATTTGACAAATTGTGAAATTGTTTGAATGCTTTATGTGAAGCACTTGTGAAGGCCTCAGCCCTGGCCTTCACCATGTGAGGGCCTAAACCACCACCAGCAGTACAACTAGCTAGGTAATGTCCTTTTGTTTTCTTTGTTCACATGTGTAGATTTAAGTTGTAGGTAGATGTTAGGCGTTTGATTTGACCTTGGACATAATCAATGAAGCATGCACTTTTGGTTAATTTTGTATTGTTAATGTGTGTAAATTTTTTTTGAGTTGCTGTCTGCCTGGTCCATGGATGGGGGTGGTCCCGACAAAAAGACTGGGTTCTTCTTCGTGTGGTGTTTATTGGTGGTTTGCAAGCCAATCTAAGGTGTATTACCGCCACCTGCTGGGCTGGAGTGTAAAAGACTGGACTGAGGCAGCAGCAGTAGGTTTAAATACCTCCCATTAGGCCTGGACTGTACCAAGTGCCCAATACGGCGGACTGTCTGTTCAGTGTTTATTGGTAGTTTATTTATTTAGTTAGTGTTTTTGTCCATTCCCTGTGTGTGTTACTGGTTTGGCCAGCCAGTATATACTGTATGCTCCCCATGGGTGTCATTTGTTAGGCCAGTTGGTTTTTGTTTGAGTTACTGTGTAGTTCAGTTTGCTGTATTTTGAGTTTTACTATCTTTTGTTCACCTCTTTTAGGGCCCAGTTTGTTTGTTATTGTTTGTATTTTTTCCCTAATTTTTGGGTGAATAAAAAGCCCATCTTTTTTTAACTTTAAAAGCTGTGTCCTCTGCCTTACTGTTCGGTCCCTGACACACCGTACATATTTTGGTGAACATATCAAATCTGAAATACATGGTATGCTTACACGGCTCTTAGAGCAGCTTAAATTCTATAGTAGACATAACAAGTGCTGGGGAAATCAGAGCACATTCTATAAGTGTGCATGCTTATATTATTTGCAAGTGACTTATTTAGCTCCTAAGCGGCTTCATAACTAATGTACGTTTTAAGATGAGGTTAGGGAACACTGACTAATAAATAGTGACTTTTCAGGTCTCGTGTCAAGCAGGAAAATAGGATTGTGAAACCCTCCCCCAGGGTGTCATTCCACCTGTGCTGACAAGATTCTGTTTATTTAGTAAGGGGTCACCTTAAGGTTTTTCACTTCCTCACTCTCTAAAGGAAAAAATAAAGGTGCATCACATTGTCTGATAAATCAAGTGCATGTAAAAATTACAAACTGACTCAGATTTGATTCAGATGTGGCATTCTTCCTTCTGGATGCATTAGCATTTAAAGCTAGCGTGTTTGTTTTGGCCACATTAGTGACCCACCCATGTGGTACTTTTGCATTGAATTTATATGATTTAAATTTGGTAATGATTTGAGCTTTGTGTAACGTTAGTGGTTTGTGTCACATTAGTAGTACTGAATATTCTACTGGACTGAGACATTTTAGCTGTTAGTCAACTAATGCTAGCTTTGGACAGGAGGCTACATTTTGTACAGTGTCACAACCAGGCATTTGTAGTTTATGTCTTTGCTAGGAAACAGATGTGATGCGTTAGGAGCAGCTTATAGTGTCTGCTTGTTTTGGTTCTCTGGTTTCTAGATGCTCTAGGCTGAAAAGAAATTAGGTAGCATTAAGGTAACACTAGCTTATCAGATAATTTTGCTCAGGTATGGAATATTTATGTATTTGTGGTTGGTCATGTGGTTTGTTGTTTTGATCTGTGTGAGCTGAATGTTGAACCTTTTCCATCCAACATGTATTATTTTCTGTTTTTTTCCGCCATGTAAAAGTAAACAGACCTTGAGTCAAGTTTGTTTTGCTTCCTGAGGAGCCTCAGTGGGAGATAGTGAACAAATTTGTCACTGCTATGTAAAAACTGGTCTACATTTTTGTTAACGTTGTTTCTAAATTACATTTCTAGATATGGGGGTCATTTCCCCTTCATCTGTGCTTTTGCCTGTTGTGTGCCTGTTGGTATCAATGGCATTTCTGCATTCTATGCACTTTCCTTTTTTGTAAATGTGCTTTCACTCTTGTGAATACTTTGGCATTTGCAGCATTTTCCTGTTTAGGGCACAGTTCTCTGATTGTTTTTGCTTTCACTCCAGTATGTGTTTTGACCTGAGGGGCCACTGTATAGATGAGATTAATTAATATTCACAGAAGGTGGTAAAAAATGGCACAACTGCGTGGCTCTTTGAGTTTTGCACCTCTCTATAAAAGATATGTGGGATTTTGTCAAAAGATTACATTATTCCTTTGTTTTCCCTCTGTGTTCCCATAGCAACTTTTCAACTGCCAGGCCTTGAAGAAGCTGAGCATGCCTGATAACGACCTGTCCAACCTGCCCACCACCATTGCCAGCCTGGTTAACCTCAAAGAGCTGGACATCAGTAAAAATGGTAAAAGTAAACAAAAAATAATTTAAAAAATAATTTTTAAACACAGATGCCCAATCCAGCCTGACACAAACCTACCTGCAGCTGATGGTAGTGACAGATCCAAAATAGCTGAGGCAGTGTGTCTCATCAAAATATAGCAAAATGTCTTAACCACAGTTAACTCAACAAAATGTGGAACTATAATTGAAAGCAAAGAAGACAAAGAAAAGCAGGAAAGCCTTTCACTTGCGAGACTGGAATATAGAATATTTGTCCCTGTTTAACGGTGACTGAAATAGTATATTATTTTTCTGTTGATCATCTAGTGGACTAATTATTTCTAAATGCATCATATGATATCAGCACATTTCATTTTCCTTCTCTCCATGTCTCTCTAACAGGTATTCAGGAGTTTCCAGACAATATAAAATGTTGTAAAGGCCTGTCTGTGGTGGAGGCCAGTGTCAACCCTATCACAAAGTAAGACACCTTGTAGCAGCACTACTCAATAATATACTAACAAAGTTGAACATTTGGGTTGATGGCAGCAAACGCTAACGTTTATCTGCAGTGCAAAAAGCTGGTTTGCAGGTTTGACATAACTAACATTTATCTGAGCATAAAGATTCTGCATAACAACCTGGCAATGTCGGCCTAGATTCAAACATTCAACTTTCAAATAGGCTCACTTACAGGAGTGTTTTTACTGAGAACCATTTTCTATTGAAAGTTTTTTTTAAATGTCTGGAACAATCACGCATTTGGTTGATGGCACCAATTTTATCCATCAGTTTCTGTGGCTGGGGACTCAGTTCAAGATGTAATAGACTGTTTCATGCATTTGACACATATTTAGCTGTTTGAATGGATTTTTCTCTGTCACAAGTTAGTGTCAAGAGACACTTGATAATAGCCGGCTACATCTACAGACCCTATAGTACCATACAACCATATATTTTTCTGTGTTTATTTTCTATTGGCTCAGCTGCGGAGAGCTGACAGGAGATGTAACTACTACAGTAACATGCTGGTGTTGTTTACCATTGTGCTGTGAAGCTATTGGAGCATTAGGTGTTACGTTAGTAATTGCTGTTTTCCTTTCAGAGGTGTAATGTCCGTGAATCACAACTAGACTTAACCACACAGTATACTGCAGACAAAAAGACGTCTTTTACTCTGTGTGTGCGTGTGTGTGTGCATGTGTGCAGGAGATGAGTCATCTCCTAACAGCAGCAAACCATTTCTAGAGAACCTGTTTTTGAAACGTTTTATTTCAGTGAAGCACGCTGTTTTTCTCTGCTTATTGTTTTTATTTTGATTGTTCATAATGTCTTTATTTCTTCGTTTCTGCTTCTGCCTATTTCTTTTACTCTCTTTCTCCTCCAGACTCCCAGATGGTTTTACGCAGCTCCTGAATCTCACCCAGCTCTTCTTAAACGATGCCTTCCTGGAGTATCTGCCAGCCAACTTTGGCAGGTAAACTGATCCATGTAATTTCCTTGCTTGTGAGGGTGCATGTGAACAAGTGTGTGACTGTATTGTCAGGTTGTTTTTACAACATCCTTATTTGGTGCCTCTTGTGTGGCATAATCTTCATGAGAAAAGGGAGCGTGTCCAGGTTTGTTGGCCTTGCTGCTGTACTACTGAGTGTTTGTCCTGAAAATGAACATGGTTTATTTTATATGCAGTGTCAGAATCAGCTTAGGCATTAATGTTTCTTCTTTGGTGGAACGTTTTGGATCATACCTTGGTGGGAGTGCATGAATGATTTTCTAAAATTCCCTACTTTGATTTGGCAAGCATCTTTTTTTTCTTTAACAGCACATATAAACTGTGAGGTGCAAGATTCAGTGTGAGTCCATCAAAATAAAAACACATTCATCAGGGCAATGATGGCAAAACAGACAAATATTTGGTGATGTGTATAAAACAGCTCTTGGACGAAGTGTTTTAATTTTCATTTTTAAATTGTGTATGTAAAATAATATTTTCATCTCAGGTTAGATATTCATTCATTTTTCCTTTTACCTTTTCATCTCGGAATACAGTATATACACATTGTTTGTGCAGTTTGCTAATAGAATGTGACATTTCCATGCTGCTGAGTGATTTTTTTTTATTGTAAAACTTTACTAATCAATAATTTTGTATCATTATGATCACTGATTAGGACAGGGTTGATGCTGTTTTTGGAGTTGAATTAAATGGGGTCTGTTTTTCCACTGTTTTACTGTATGTTGTGACCTTCTATGACATTCCTTGTAACATTTGTTGCATTTTACTGAGAGAATTAACAGAGTAAATGGAGTCTTGACTTTTGTGACATTTGTTTTTTAGACTCTCCAAACTACGGATCCTTGAGCTGAGAGAGAACCACCTGAAAACCATGCCAAAGTAAGACAAACCACCATATGTGTCTGTGGGCGTTTGTGCATACAAATATGTTAGAAATAAACACAGTTTGGTGTCTCTGCGCTCCACTAACTGAAACACACACAGAAGATACATGAGATTACTGAGTGTATCCAAACCGTCCCAGGGGTCCACATTAAATCTATTTATCTATGGCCAGTGTTCTTGGATACTAATATAGCCTTTTAGAACAGTAAATACTTCCTGTTCACTACCATATCACTGAAATTGTCACCGTTTTCGTGTTTGCCCAGCATGCCCACAGACAGAGACTACTATAAGTGTACCTAGCAATACTGCAGATAACCTTTGAAGTTGAAGAGTAACACTGATTTCAACTACAGTTAATTGATATAAGCACTAATACTGTATTAATGCCAACAGTACTACTGTTGCATTTATTTATTTTTTTTTACCAGCATAGCTACCAGTGCTCTATTCTCCATCCATCCATCCATTTTCCTCCGCTTATCTGGGACCGGGTCGCGGGGGCAGCAGTCTAAGCAAAGATGCCCAGACTTCCCTCTCTCCAGA